ACAATGTTATTGATGTGTATGCCTTTCTGTAAATCTACTGTAGATTTTAACAAAAATGATTTCATTCTATTCACTCTTTTATAATTGGTTATAACTGAAATGAAATTTTAAATTACAATCGAGAAAAGATTATATATATATATATATATCCTAATCACTTACCGTAATTCTCTCAGGCAAAATTGATTTGCTTCTTTTTGATGAAGAACACAACTTCGAAATGATTACTTAAATAAATACATATTATTGCTTACGTATGTTTCTAAACAATTGTCAAGGTAATCCATTATAAATCGAGAAATCCAGCTATCGCACACATTTTGATTATATCACCATTTTTATATATCACGTTTATCGACCACATAACTATTCAAAAATTAATGGTTGAATAGATTAAACTGTTTTTTTCGACATAACCTGACAACTGACAACTAAATATTCACTAGTTATTTAAGGTAAAAAGTTTTTTTCCGAACAAACTAATTTATTTGTCAGGTTACAAAAAATAAAATTATTCCTATTTCTATGTCTGTCATTCACGGTCAATATACACTATCAGTTTGGTGAAAATAAGAGTCTTGAAAAACACAAGATTCAGTTACGTTTAATCACATTTTCATTACATAGATAAACAGTGAATATTCCACCTTGACGATAATATAAAGCCCCAAATATTGTACTTGTGTATACACATTATTTGATTTATAAATCGAGACATTATTATTACACATTTTGCTTTTGGAAGGGAACAAAATGTAAATAAAATGTAGCTCAGTGCTAATCAAGGCAATAAGTTATACAACCGCTAAAAAACAAATCTAATGAATAAGGTGAGACAATTACTAACGATGTTTAGTCATCAGAGCATAAGTAGCTTGCAATTATCTATTCAACTATATTTGTTAATTCATTCCAGGAAATCTCAGTATCTGAAGTATTCCATTGAAGTATTTAATTCAACACAATCAAACGTTATGCAATATCCTAGCAAACAATAAGATCAACCATTAGTAGTCAAGTTTGATTCTCATAGTAGAAAATACATCTTTCCAAAAGAGAAAATACTTTTATACAATCGAATTAATATCGTAATTTCGATAGTATCATATATGGTACTACACGGTATAAAACAGTTCATAATTGTTTGGTTAATTGTATGGATTTTCAATGATTGTCTTGTACTTTATTTACATTAACCTTGAATATCATGTGTTTACAATTAGAAATAAACAATCTATCAACAACAAAAAACCAAGGGAAAGAAATGAAATAAAACTGTAATAAAACTATTTCCAGTAAATATATACATAGAGTAAGAAGAAAGTAGATCTACTATTTCACTAAAAACTTACTTATTCAACGTTTGTAAGATAAGTTAGTAACAACTAAATATTCATGTCTTTATTCAACATTAGTGTTAGTGTGTAGTGAATGAATACTCAAGTACATTAAACTTATTTGTTTTTTAAGTAGAATGACATAATTTATAAGAACTCTCGTCTAAATTAGAGCGAATAATTTCACAGTATTTGAGCGCCGAGTTGATGTAAGACATTAAATAGGAATAATATATATTTGTAAAGTCTCAGCGAATGAATTTTAATTAAATCCAATGTTTCGCCTGGCAATCTGATCCAAGCTTTTTCAAGGAATTATAATCAAACATCAAAATTATAGAATATAGTGATTTTGTGAAATATGAAAATCATACATTAAATACATCATCTGCACATCTTCCTTCAGTTGTACTTTATATAGTCCATGATTCTTTTAAATCTTGTTTTGTTATTCCTAACACTTTCAATCTTCTGATGTTAAGCATTCCATATTCAATTTCTGTTATATACTACTTATATCTGTTTACAGAAGTAGCACCAAACACCAAACTAATACTCATTTTACATAATTTAAGGTAAATATTTAGTACTTAAGACAATCGATTTTATGGTAAATATAACAAACTTTACAAGTATGAAGTTAATTAAATATTCTCATTACATATCTATTCATTACAACATTCATTGAAATATTCTGAATACATTGAAAAAACGCATAACAGTAGTAGATATTCAAGGAACTCTGTTGAAAACATTAACTTATTTCATAGAGTAAATTGTTTTCTATTACAGTTGTGATTCATTAAAATAACCTTAACATATATAAGTAATAATTATCACGTCTTATGACATAATATTTTACAAGTTTATAATATCTGTTAATTACCAATAATGATGAATCAGTAAGAACAGTTTAATTTAACCATTCTATTTGTTATTCATGATATATGAAATGTCAATGAGAAATAATATAGTAAAACTGAACAAGAAATGATTTTTTTTTCAAAAATATTGGACGTTCTAATAAGCTAAATAACATTTTGATTGATTGATCAAGAGAAAAGGTACTTCAAAAACATAAATATGATTATTATCAGAAAGAGATTTTGTGGTGATTGTAGTAATTTAATAGTTGAGATCATGAGTCAATTGATGTTAGACCACCATGGAAAACCTGAAAGCTTTGGATGGTTGTTTCTTCCTAGTACGGAACTTCTCATCAGTGAGAATCCACGATCCTGCTCATGGGATTAGAATCTAGGTAATTCGGCCTCTCACGTAAACGCGATAATAATCAGCATGTGCTCATTAGTGACTGGCTTTGAGAGGTAATTCCTGAAGTTCCAGTGAAAAACCGTGATCAGTGGAGTTCAACTGTGCCTGTTGTGAAATAATAACTCACTGAAGATAATGGTAGATGGTGGCTCAATTTCGTTGATTCGTCGAAGTTAAACATCAACACTGTTGAAAGCCGATTTAATGACCTAAAGGTCATGCGTTCGCACTAAAGACCAAAGATCTTAGGTTCGAATCCTATGAGCAGAGTAATGAATGTGTACTGTTGAGAAATCCCCAACTAGAATTAAACAGCCGTTCAGTGCTTCCAGGTTTCTCATGGTTATCTAGCTTCAATTGACTCAAAAACTCAACTATTAAAATAAATATGAGTTAATTATTTAGTTCATTTTAAGTGAATACAGACGAGTACAGAAAATACAACACTTCTAATTTGTAAAAACTTTATTTATTTATTTAAACATATAAATAGTGGTACAAAGAGGAACCGGATATATATGCGCCGAACAAGTCTCATTTAATTTGTGTGAGGGCTGTGATACGCCCAGGTGCCCAGACTGTGGCTCCGGGCCACACCCGGAACCTTTGATCCATAAGCGGTGAAGCATCGTGAGCAGATGCAGTCCCATCGTAGCCGGTGACCAACAATTGGTTCATGCTCCATTTGTTTCCTCAGGATATTGGAGCCAGCCAGTGTGCACCATTGGTTTGGAATCAGAGTTTTCCAACTTCCCTAGGTGAACTTTCCGTGTCCACCAATCCGGTTAAAGCGCCGGACATTTGCTTTTTGTCGTCTCAGTTTCGTAGACAACACCCCCACCACGAGAATGCAGTGAGTAGGACTTCCCTGGGGGAGGCTATATACGTGTGGCCATGTGAGAGCATTTTGATAGGGAGAACGGACTCTCTTCACTCTCAGCCATACCAGGGCATTCGGTGGCTAAATAATGTTTTAATCATAAATTTTCTTGTATTTAGTTAGAAACTACTCATTTCACAAATTAAATCAAGCAACATATAATTCATTTATAATAGTTATTTAGAATGAAATCAGTTTATAAATATACCGTATAAAAGGCAAATATAATTTCATTACATTATGATCTATCAATATTTCAATAATATGATTATCATAATTAAATCTTCTCGAACTGTTTCATAAAGACGAATTATTAAATCTATTCATTTTGTAATAGAATTGAAGAATTTCTACATGAAAAATAATAAAATAAACTAGTCAATAAGAACTTAATCTTCTTTTTATTAACTATATATCAGTATAGAGTTGTGAAAATTGTTTGGGTTTTCATTGAGATTATGGATCAATCAGCGTTAAACCATCATTGAGAATCAGGAAGCATTGAATGGTCGTCTTCCAATGTTACTTGTGACTAACGTCCTGACATCTAACGTGGTTGAATTCCATTCGTCATGGGGTATCACTGGGATTTCTGAACTCATCTCTCAAAAATAGTCACTAGTAAGTATATGATTATTAAACTGTAAATGGTTTATGGAATTTGTTGGATTACATGAGATTAAACAAATACAACAAACTCTCTATGGTAATGAATGTGAAGGAAACGTAATATATATGTTTTCTCTTCTTAAAAATGTTTTTCACTTTTGTTCTATGATCTCATCTAATTCAGTCTACAGCTTGTAAATAAATGTCTACCAATTAACCAAACTACTCCAAACTGGTGACATCATACTAAATTGTCTATTCTATATGATGTAAAAGAACTGTTTTATGAAATATAAATATGTTTGCAATTTCCAGCAGCATGATCATCATGAATAATGTTTAATTCATCTTCTTACCATTCAAGTAACCGATGAAATTCTACTCCATTTACATTAACCATATAACAACTCCAAGCTTCTATAATCTATTTGAGAATTATTTTCACTTCAAAGTTAATGAGTAACAAGAAGCTAGATGTCCATTAACAATACTCCTAAGTATAATTGAAAATTTACCTATTCTCAGAATAGATTGATTAGAAGATCTGTATTCAAGCGTATTTCAAGTGAACAACAATCTCTAAGACGTTAAACAATAGGTTAAAAATAGCATAATATAGATTTCATAAAACAGTTCTTTTGCATCATGTAGAATAAACAATTTAGTATGATGTCACCAGTTTGGAGTAGTTTGGTTAATTGGTAGACATTTATTTACAAGCTGTAGACTGAATTAGATGAGATCATAGAACAAAAGTGAAAAACATTTTTAAGAAGAGAAAACATATATATTACGTTTCCTTCACATTCATTACCATAGAGAGTTTGTTGTATTTGTTTAATCTCATGTAATCCAACAAATTCCATAAACCATTTACAGTTTAATAATCATATACTTACTAGTGACTATTTTTGAGAGATGAGTTCAGAAATCCCAGTGATACCCCATGACGAATGGAATTCAACCATGTTAGCTGTGAGGAAGCTAGTCTCGGATAGCATTGAAAGACGGCTGAGAAATAAGGCTCACCGAATGACTGAAGTTGAAGATTCAAACTATCAGATACCAACTAAATAGTATAGATAAAATGAGCTTACCATGAGACCTGGTTATCTCAGGTTCAATCGTTCATGAAGTTGTTAATGATCACTGCTAAAGAGTCCTGTATTAGGACGAGATAGAAGTTAATAATATAAATTAATTCATATGGACTTTTAGTTACTTTAACAAGAACATCGAGGTCTGTTTTACATCGAAATTCGTATTTTAAGTGGGAACATTATCATTAAACATATTATCTAAAATAACAACAATAAAATACACTTACATTGAAGATTCATATCTAATCCTTCTGGTTATAAAATATGATATATTATGGATGAATTTAATGATGTTATACTACACAGATTAGTAACTATTGTTTCTTGAAAATCATGAAAATACATCAATATTACAAATGATAAGATTCAACACTAGTCATTAATAGATCACTTTTCCAGCTATCATCAAAAGTTACTTTAATTGCAATATGAGTACTACTATAGGATCATTTTCTAATACAATATTTTTTTTTAAAGACTATTGTATATTATATTCCATTCCGTTTAGTCTTTACAAAACTAAATTTCATTCATGACACCTTAAAATTTCATTACTTAACCTGTAGTAACTAGGTAACAATGAATGGTCTCATTTAATATTTTTTTTGTATAAATTATACTAGTCACATTAATTATTCCTGATATTATTCAAACTCCAAAAAAAAAGTGATTGTTGTCATGGAAAATAAATATTGAATCATTTGAGTATAACCACATAGAAACTTCTCAAAGAGGATTTGATTAGTATATAGTTAACAATTTCTTTATAGTTATTTGAAAAGAAAACAATTTCCCCAGTTGACTGGTTAATAATAAAAATTATGAAAACAATCTGAAAAAAATCAGTAATATTCCCGATGAACAGTCCTGATTATAAAAAGATTAGATAAACGTTGTTTAAAGTATCTCTGAATAAACTTTCATCATTTTTACCAATACAAACTTGCTATTTGACTTAATATTGTATTGCCTTTTTTTTGTTGTTGTTGACCAATCATCGTTAAAGGTGTGTGTGTTATATGGCATGTCAGTAATATTTTCTCCTTGTTTTTTTTTTATAATAGAAAAGTAAATTACTAAATAAATAAATTACTAAATTACTACTTGAAATCAAACGAAAGAGATGAGCAAACACTTTTTATCATCTTATTATATAAGCTTAAAACTAGTAGTAAGGATGTTATACGTCCAAAATGAACTAGTTGAGTAAAGGAGACAGTTCCATTATAAAAAAGCAAACAATAATGAATGAAAATTTGAATGTCACTTTTAGGGATGGATAATCTGATTGGTGATTATTTATATTATTCATGGGGCGAATGATGTCTTTATTGAATATAAGGTTAAAAATATTTACATAGCGTTATTTTTTAAAATAATTATATACACATATAATATAATATATGAGAAAAGGATCGTTTATTGTTGTGAAGAAATATTATACATAACAAGGAGTGTAGTGTGGTCTACTTATATCCATATAAGTAGTATATTGTGATTGTCAGACATAAAATATATTTTGGCAGAAGACCAATAAGGAAAGAACTGAAATGAAAAGCAATTGGTAGAAAAATGCATGAACAATGGAATTAGAGAAGATGAACTGATATTTACAGAAGGAACAGTGAAGATTGAGACAATTGGGTTGTTAATTTGCAAATTAACTGTGTACTGTATGGTTAACAGAATTTAATGAGAAAGTTTAAATGCATTCGATTGTCCCAACCCGTGTTTTGTTCACTACTGTAGGAATTTTGTTAGGAATTACTGAAAACTAGAGACCATTAGATAACTGTTTTGTCTTAAGCTAACACTATTTCATTGAGCACAGCCACAATCTAACAACCTATCAAGGCTATGACTTTTAGGTTTTGTAGTGAGTATGATATATTTAAATCACTGGGTAAATCTCCAATGATCCATCTCATCACACAACAAACTGAATATAAGTAAAGTTAGAGACTATTACGCAACAACAAATTGATTTTAATCAATTTTACTAGTCATATAATTTGAATACCCTTTTGTAGAATTATATTTATTGTACCGCCTAGAGCTTTCAATCTGTAACAACAAAACAGATTATCAGTACTTTTTGGCTTTTTGCCCCCAAATGCCCTGGTACGGCTGAGAGTGAGGAGAGTCCGCTCTCCCTATCGAAATGCTCTCACATGGCCACACGTATATAGCCTCCCCCAGGGAAGTCCTACTCACTGCATTCTCGTGGCATTACTGTTGTTTACGAAATTAAGAGGATGAGAAGCGAATTTGCGACGATTTAACCGGGTTGGTGGACACGGTGAGTCCACCTAGAGGAGTTGGAAAACCCTGATTCCAAAACAATGGTGCACATGGGCTGGCTCCAATATCCTGAGGGAACAAATGGCGTATGAATCAATTGTTGGTCACCGGCTACCATGGGACTGCATCTCCTTACGATGCTCCACTGCCTTATGGATCAGATCTTTAGGTCGAATGCTCCGGATGTGACCCTCTAAGAAAACTACCTGCTTCAGTTTGTGCACCTGGGCGGTATCACAGCCCTCACACAAATTAAATGAGATTTGTGTTTCGCATGTTTATGGTGCCTCTATGTACCAATATTAATGTGCTCAAATAAATAATAATGAACTTTGTTTGTTTTTTTAGTGATTTCTCAAATAAACCGTCAGTTTATAAAACATACAAAAAACAAAATACGAATCCCTTCAGTTAAATAGTTTCAATATGTATATACAAAAGTAAAACAAAATAACATTTAGACCACACAGATAACTAAAAAAAATTTTTTTTTTTAAAATCCATAACAAGTTAGAATGTTTCAAAAGTAAAGATTAAACCAGAGATAAGTTTGTAAAACGAAGAAAAAAAAGTAGGTTGATTTTTTCGAATGATAAAATAAAATAGAAAAAATAACTTACAACTTTATGAATATATCAATTGTAACCAATGGAAGAATAATTCAATAGTCATATGATAAAAATTAATTATTTAGAATTAAGTTATATAAATTAAAACAAACAGGAAAAAAAAAGATTTCTAAAAAAAAAGGGTTTCGATTAGCGAATGGTTTTAGTTTATGTTTCATTTGAATTTGCTATAACGTTTGAGTGTGTACGTGACCTGTTTAATATATGATGGGATGATCCCGGTCAATAAGAGAGGAGTGAATTATCGATTAGAGCAATGATACATAAAAGCCGTATGAGCAGTATTGAGTACTTATCAGTCCTGCTATCTGCCTAGCCTAGCCAGTTAAGTTCAAAAACACTAATAACAGCCTCTGTGGTATGAATCATTATTCACAAACATACTGGGTTTATATACCAATCAAACAGACCACATCGTACCATGAAATAGAAAATAATATTTGTACAAGATTTGGACAAATGTGGCTGTGAATAAGGGGAACAGTAGTTAATAGACTAGGGATAAAGAATGATAAATCATATAATAACAGTCTATTGGTCAAAATAAACCTTATAATAAGAGGGATCCAAATATGAGTAGTTTAGTTACTTAACAATTATACAATAGGAAATATACATATCATATTGGTCCATAAATAGTTCTCAAATTTACCATTCATAAATCTCTAAGTAAAACAAATAATAAATATTCTAGAAATATTTAAAACCTAATAAAACTACAATTTTTAAACTGTTATATTTCATTTCACATGTAATAATATTTTCCTATATATAAGAAAGCTAACTGATGGTCACATATAAATTAGGGCTTAGTAACAAACATAATTATATCGCGATTTGTGGGTGATTGTATTAATTTATTAGTTGAATTCATGAGTCAATTAAAGATAAACCACTGTTAAAAACTGCAAGGACGGCTCGTCAGTAGACTCTAGGAAGCCCTAAGAAGCCCAGGAAGAGCCACAGACATTCCATCCAATCATGGCTAGTGGAATGTTCTGAAATGTCGACGTGTAGCTTCCCCATTGGATGGATTAGCATGACCCCTATGAGCCTATTGGTTGACCGAAATGATGATTTACATTCAGCCAAAAAACTATAAATACACGAGATTTCTGTACTATATTTTGACACTGATTTGGGGAATAAACTTCCTACTTGCCAGTCTTTGTCTTCTCTCTTTTGCGACGTTGCGGGTTCTATCGTTCAAGTAGTCAAGTAGTTCGCGGCATATTAAGAATCAAGGCTCTAGATATAACAAAAACCTAAAAACACTGAACAGCCGTTTTATTCAAGTATGATTCGAGTCCCGCGTACAGAATCTTCGATGTTCACCGCTGGTTAATACGATACTAGGAAAAGATGGCCGTCCAGTACCTCCAGGTTTTCACTGTTGGTCTAGCTTAAATTGGTTCATGAATTCAGCTATAAAATAAGATATTATTTATTTATATTTACATTGAATAGTTCATTGAAAGTCATGATAATTAAATTTTTTTAGGGTTGTCAATCATTTCATGCAGTTGAGATAAAAATTTAAGGTTCATTAATAAACAGTCACCTTTCCAAATAGAAAATTATAACAAATATATGTCATAAATTTCAAATTCCAATTAAATTTTCTAGCTATAAACTTAAGCAAAATCAGGTAAAAAAATGCAAATAATGATTCAACAAATTAAGTGAATTCACTAGAAATTATCTACTTGAATCTTCCCATTAATGTTTAGGACTGCAATTGATCAGTCTCTTATTGAAATATGTGCACACTGTGCGGTATGCCTCGATATTGCCTTAATTCACAAGCATTGTAAGCAAAGATGTATAGTGGATAGAGTGGAATCCAGGACGCACGTTCTGTCTTGTTTGGCACTCGTCAGCTGAATGTACCTGCATCCCAGAGTCGTTCACTTTGGGACTCGAACCCAGTGCCGTTCGCTTCCACTCAGCTACTGAATCCTGATAGCCACTTGCTTTTTCAATAGGGTGAAGTTTAAATTCACTTAGTATTGTTTGTTTGAATCTTCTCATTTATGTTTAAAACTATGTGTATTGCCTCTATATATCATTAAATCCACAAGCATTATAAGGAAAGATAGATAGTAGCTAACTGTTAACCATTATCCATCTTCCCTTATAAAATAAGTGAATATTTTTTTATTCATGATATAATCATTTAATATTTGAATGAAATCCATTATAACTGACAATGATCTCCAAGATAAAATATATCAACCTAATCTGTTGGGAGATATCAACTAACTGATGACATTAGTGAATTGGTTGCTCAATTTTGTGAATCAGTTGAAGTTAGACAATAACGCCGTTGGATACCGGCTCAGTGGTCTATCGGTTAAGTTCTCTGTCACGAGACTGGTAGATCCTGTGTTCGAATCTCGCGAGTGCGGGATCGTGGATGCGCACTGCTGAAGGACCCCCCCCTTTATTTAACACTAATTATCAAGATGGACATATACAAGATCTATCAACAAAGACTATTTGTAATTTAGTTCTAATTATCAACAATATTCATCATAAATTTTTTTAATATTTTAATTCACTTTTTTGAATGACCTAATAAAATAAATTTCATGGATGAATAATGATTCAATTTATTATTTTTTATTTGGATAGAATAGTTATTAGGAGCAATAATGATTATTTATTTACCTTAAATATGTATAAAGCATTATCATATAGAGTTTTAGGTTTATTATACAATAAGTTTGTTTGTTTGTTTTTTTAGTTTTTTTTTATTTATTTTAAAATATACTTACTTAGTAACAACATTTGATGATAAAAAACAAAAAAATTTTTTGGCTAAACTTTATCTGATTTTTTACCTCCATTAGAGAGAAAAGAAAAATTAAAAAAAAAGAAAAAAAAATTTGAGCATATATTAAATTTTGTTTATTGTTTACCTTCCGGGCAAAAAAAAGATTTAAATTAAATGATATTTTATTTATAAATTTTGTCTCAAAAAAAAAGAAAAAGAAGAAAATACTACTTAAATAGAAAGGCAGAATTATGACCTGATTACAATTATTTAATCTATGAACTATATGATGAGGAGGAGAAACAAAAGAACAAAAAGGGGAGGAAAATTTAATTTCAAGTTTAATAATCATTTATACTGAGTTCATAAACCAATGAAAGTTTAATAAATGTTAAATATATCTAACAGAATGTTATTTAGAACAACATATAAACAAGTGAACAATATTGTTTTCACAAAGGGTTTTTTGTGGAGATTTAGTAATTTTATAGTTAAGATCATGAGTCAATTGAAGCTAGACCACCATCGAAAACCTGGAAGCATTGGACGGCCGTTTCGTCCTATTATGGAACTCCTCAGCAGTGAGCATTCACGACTCCGCACTCGCGAGATTCGAACCCAAAATCGTGGATTAGTTGAAGATAGACATTAACACCGTTGGATGCCAGCTCAGTGGTCTATTGATTAAGGGCTCTGGCTCGAGACTGGTAGGTATTGGGTTCGAATCTAGCGAGAGCGGGTTCGTGGATGCGCACTGCTG